AATTTTCTGTTTGGTTTAAACTACCTATCTGGGCATTTAAGTCACCTGCTGCGACTAATATATCTAAGTGTTTAGATTTACGATGAAGTTCAGAAAGCTTTCTGTAAAATTCATCTTTCAGTGCGTCCGGGATGTAGTCAGTGGGGGCGCAGGCAGAAATGACAAATAGGCAATGACATGTGTCCCTATCCGTCCGAGTTCTTAGAGAGCCGTTTAGCCTAACAGCACATAAGCGGCTTTTAACATAGATCCATTCTAATAGTGCTTGTTCTGCCCTCGAACTTAGTGCTGTTCATACACCTGCCATTTCTTGAAAACTAGACATCGGGTCGCCAGATACACGGGGTGTATCTCGTCGGCTCACCGTTTTGGCAAAATGGCAAAATGAATCTGTTGGATTATGAGAGAATCCATAGTGAGCCGACGAAATCACGACATAACAAATCACTGTTGAGATATCCATAGGATGGATATATGTCATAATGTATCAACTTACTTGAATATGAGAAAGCGATTGACAGTGTGGATAGGAGAACTTTACTGAATCTCCTTTCACACTATGTTGTATTTGAGAAGATCATCAACACCATACGGAATTCATACTGCGGACTACAGTGGAAAGTCGTGCATGGAGGACAGATGACAGACCCATTTCAAGTGAGGACTGGAGTCAGACAAGACTGATTACTCTCTTCTTTTCTGTTCCCTCTGGTGGTTGACTGGGTCATAAAGACTTTCACACCTGAGGAGGGTCACAGAATACGATGGACAACTTGGATGTAACTAGATGATTTTGACTTGACAGGTGACCTAGCCCTTCTATTGCATACACACGAACAAATGCAGCTAAAGGCAACTAGTGTAGCAGCAGTCTCTGGATCACTAGGCCTAAGCATAGACAAGGGAAGAAGCAACATCCTCAGATACAACACAGAGAGCCTCAGCCAAATCACTTAAATAGAGCAAGAATAAACATAAAGGGAACCAATTGCATCAAATCACGCTTGATGAAGAGACTGGAAGAGATTATCATTTTTTTATGATGTTGGGGAAAACCCCAGAATTTACTCAAAGTTTACTTATTTATCCTCTGGATAATGGGATTAGATAAGAAGATTTATAATGCAAAAACTACGGAATATGTAACTACTTTATCTGGCACTTACAGTAATGTTATACACAGTTCCTGTATTTGTTCATGAAGCGGAGTAAGAGGCTATCAACATCAACTGTTACTCATTAAAATTTTTATTTCTCAGATACGTTACATAATAATTTGTCAGTTCAATCAAATGCGATCGTACTTATAATGGATAGGACTGTCTATGGCTGTATATTAACAAGTTATATAACATTCATGAATAGCCTAATGCTTAATTGCTTCAACCCATACTTGATAAACTGCTGCCAACATCCATGTTCATCACCATCATAATGTAACAGATCTTAGAGCTCACTTTTAATTAAGATTCTCACTGCGATCTACTTTCGGCTTGTTAAATGGTGAATTTCACTTGCCTGAATTTCCATTTTTACAGATAAACACATTAGGCTGACTAAACATTTACCCAGGTTGTAACTGACAAGTATGTCAAACTACTAATAAAGTGGAATAAAAGCTATGTATCAAGCACAAAGATTACGAAGATTGACGTGTGACGGAAAATTCTGTTAATAGCTGTTAAATAACGGCATCCCAAAATCCTCAACAATATGTAACATGTGCGCGAAAACCCATGGCTTAACGTCCTGACCGTGCCCACACTTATTGCACGCCGATAACCCTAGAAATAATATTGAGTGTTTGTCTGTCACTGCCAAAGGCTTTAGAGTCTCACAATTTATTATTACGTACTTCGTTTACTTGGACGAAGGAATTTTTAGGATACCGTATCCAACCTCTATGGGCCCGCATTTGTAACATTTGACTCAAGCAGAAAGTCCTTGTTTCAAGTATGAAGCGGGAATTCTGGAACTAGTTCAATGGCAAAGGACTAAAATGGTGAGCCTTCCCTATGGCCTATCTTATGATGTCATATTGAGAGGCTTCAACTTATATCCGTTGTCTTACGGCAATGTACGGAGTGATTTTATACTGGATTATCGAATGCAGAATGATGATCATGGTATCAATGTTTTATGGCTTCCTTCTGTCTAGGATCATTCAAGAGGAAATTCTAAGAAAACTCGACAACTGCGATCAAATAATTTGTGCTCCGATTTCCGTTTCTCCCACCGAGTTGTCAATTAATGGAATCTTTCCACCAGAACACGTCATATCATCATCTTTTGTTGAATCTTTGAAAGCAGTATTGGGTCTTCACAGTATAACAAATCGCAAGGATTAGTGTGGGTCGTCTAACCTTCTATCCTCCCTACAAAAGACTAAAGACGGTAGTTTGACTTTCAAGTGCTCAGCGAATTCCATTGACGGACGATGCCACTGGATTGTTGCCGACTGGTCCATGGAGTAATAGTCGCATTCCGTTTCTTGTACCTATTCTTGATAACGTGTTTCGTAGGAACGTTGAATCTATCAAGGCAGTCACAGTACATTAACCTTGGTGAGGGTTAGTAAACTGTTAGAACAGTTTTTTCAAAAATTGCATCACAGGCAAGCATTGATTTCCACCTAGCCATACACTATATGCAGAGTCATGATTTAATTTTATGTGAAATAACTTGAATAAAACATATGCCGTCATGAAAACAGTATTACTGTGAAGGCTATCAAAGTTTCGAGACAAGTAACGATGCGAATGTGTACTCCTTTCCGGCAGGTCTCAAAATTATATTAACTGGTATATTGTCGCGAAAACATTATATCATTGGAGATTCGTCCTATATCATGTATCATAACGACGTCGTCACTTTAGCTACTTGAAGGATGAGGCTGTCAGACTTAGTAGGGCTGAACTCAAATCAAATTTGTAATTATCTTGATTTGACCGCTTTTGCGAAACCATAAGAATTGTCGAGCTGACCCACTAATCGTTTTATGACATTTTGATCTTCAAGTGCTCAGTAACCTCCGTCAGTGGACGATACTACAGAAGCGTTGTCACATCTTACTGGCACTACATAACCCTTCTGGGCTTTCAAATGGTTCGATAAGTATAAGTTCCGTGTGCTGTACCCAGTCTACGTGAGACTTTATCTGGAACATAGGATTCAAGCAGTTAGTTCATATATTACCAAAGATGTTGATACACTTTGTATCTGGGCGAGACTCTAATTTATGAACAAGCCAATCTGGGTGCGCGCTTTTCGAACGGGAAGTTTAGTCCTAACGTGATTTGCATTTATCAAACTTTTGCCGTCTTCTTACGAAACAAAAGTACCATTTCGGTTCTAAAGAATCTATCCTGAGCTATACGTTTTTTTGTTTTTCACGTATAGACTAGTTTCAGTTTATATCACTCGTTTTATCCATTTTTGTCCGTTTTCAGTGTGCTTTTCAGTATTTTTTAAGTCTTAGGCTTTTGCAAGCATCTATAACGTAGTTTGCTTCAACACGGTCATGAAAAACTCATGCAAACGTCCGGGATGCCGTTTTGCTGTTACAACTGGCATGCAGTGCGACAGTTGCAAAGGTTGGTTCCACGAAGCATGCACAGATCTGACAGCAACTGATTACAACCGACTCAGCAAGTCAGACCAAAAGTGGGTATGTGTCACGTGCAGTACGGACGCTGTCCTACTGACAGGTCTTCGAAACAAGTTGTCAGTTAACTTGGATAACGATAGTAAAAAAACCGGTAGACAAACAAGAGCGTGCGACGGACACAAAAATAGGGATGCCGATAGGTATACCACCGATGGAGCACCTTTCAACACTAATGATGACGTCTCGAGGCTCAGCACCATCATTACGTCGACGGTACTAGACTCCTCAAGCAAACTCGGGTCTCTCAGCTCACGGTCCCTGAACACAACAGTGGTTCCCAAAACCCTGTAGGTGATTCGGCCCATGTTAAGAGAGCCCAAAAGAACCAGACATCACCGCCCAAGCCGAGCAAACCAAGTGTTGCTGTGCGAAAAACAACTGGTGATTTGGTCGCACAGTCTACCCCCAAGTCTGTTCGTCCGGTCAACAAAGAGCCCAAGACTCAAAAACGCGCACCGACCTCCAAACAACAAGTTACTAAACCTGAACCCATCGTGAAACCTGGTAAATTAACAACAGGTCGTGACGATTCTCTCATTATCATAAACCTTAATGACAATCCTGATCTTCCTCTCAGTCTGCAGGACAAAAACGACAGGATGCTCTGGGGTCAATTGAACAAGAAGCTCGAACTTTCTAGAATAAAGCCTTTGACGGTCACCCGGCTCACTCGAGGAAAGGATTATAAGCATCTAAATCACCCGAGGCTTCTCCGAGTAACACTTAGGAATGCTACCGACGTGGAGGACGTCTTGCTAGCAAGTCACTTGCTGAAATCCGATGGTAACGTAAGAATATTGCCCGACATACTGTACTCTGAGAGCAATATCATACGGAACATCCCCAAAGAATCTCGCGATCAGTTTTTCCTCGGAAGAAACATAATTTGGCAAGGTATACCGGAAAATGCAGACCCTACTCAATCAAATTCTGACATCAGGGAATGGAAATTCATCAAACAGTCCATGAGGCTCAAACACATACTGACTCAGCATGTGACGAGACTAGCCAAGAAGGACGGTGATCCTAGACCTCGTCTAGTGAAGATAACCTTCCCATCTTGCCACATGGCAGCTGCAGTTCTGGAAGCATTTCGTGCCAACAGACGTCGACCGCCACCTGGAATCCACATGCAACCGGATAAGCCATATGAGGCTAGGACCAAGCACAAATGCAAGTTGGAGTTGATCATCTCATTTATGGACTGTCTAAATGATAAAAAGACGTGTAAAGGACAGGGCCTACCACCTCGTCCACAACCATTTGAACCATTCAATCAGAGTCGTTTTAGAGATTTCAAGGTTACGGCGCCAACTCCAGTGCTTAATGGGTGAATTTATCGGCACGGACTGGCGGGTAAGCCACGGATTTTCGCGCACGCGTTACATATTGTCGTGGATTTTTTGTGTCGTTATTTATCAGCTATTAACAGGCTTTTTTGCATGACACATCAATTTCTGTATTGCTAGTGCTTGTAACATAGTTTTTATTCCAATTTATTGGCAGTTTGACGTATTTCTTGCTCACCACGTAAGTAAATCTGAAGTTAGCTTAATATAGTTATTTGTAACAATACAAACTCAAGCAGTTATTTAGTGTTTATTATGCATCAAAAGATGACTTATATATGAAAACATTTAATACTCATAGGACCCAACACACACACGGCAATTGAAATACGGAATACCCGCTTCCAGTCAGCGCGTTCAAGGTCGTTGAAACGAAACGGCGGACAGATTTGAAAGGGATTACCGTTTATACCTTGCCAATTTATCCGCAACGTTTCCATGTAAGCCTAATCATCGCCCAGTGTAATAACGATCATCTGTGCGTTCATGTAATCATAGAATTTGTCATTTCATAATTTTTTTATCGAATAACTAGATTATGCTGTCAGTTTTGTACAAAACGTGATAATTGAGCAGCTATAACAAATAAGATGGCAAGACTATAATTTGCGGACTAATCAATCAGGTATAAGGTAATAGATCTCGGATTTTAACGCGAAAGCCTTTCATCCATTTGGCTAAATAAATTTCTGGCATTATAGCTGTTGTCAGTTCGTAATGAAAACCCCATATATAATTCTTAACTAAGGCAAATTACGACAATTATTGCGAACTGGATAATAAAAGCACCCATAACACTGGCTGCAACCAGATACTACAATATATACGGATGTTTGGAGAGCGTACAGACTCACACAGGCTTGGTTATGTGCATCGTGTCGTCATCCACAAGTAGCATTTCGTCCATTCAACAACAGGAGTTCACATAAACGATACTGAAGCTATATGGTCTAGGCTAAGAGAGTATTTAAGACTTTATCATGACTCCAGAGGCCGACTATCCTGTAGCCGTATGGATGATTTCTCCTGCTGCATACATTACGATTTTAGAACTTCTGAACTTTTTCCTAACTGCGACAAGTTTTTGAACCACGTATAAGAAGTGCATCCACTTTATTTCCTTGGTTTTGTATAACATTTTTACTCTATAGTGACTGCTTGCTGATCGGCTAATATTTCTCAAGGTCACTTAAGACCGTCCATAAATTAGAGTCTCGCTGAATATCCTTTTGTTAATCCAACTCAAGTGTTTTGGGTAACCGATGTAAAGATACAACTCAACTTAACATAGTCATATGCCCACTAAAATTGCGTCATCACTCTCAAAAATGTTTCCAACTCTTGCCTCGCGTTGCAAATAGCAAGATTAAGATCAGCTGTAACAATAATTATAAGTCTATAGGCCGGTGAGCTTCTGTAAAAACCCGTCCTGTTTCTGTTCCGTATATCAGGACAACTAAGCTTTCCAGGGTGGGAAACAACAGTAAGGGGTAAAAAGGTTGGATATTGGAAGTCAACTCGTTCATGGGGATGAATCCCCAAGGACCCGTCACTACCCATTACGGTAAAACGCAGAAGTCCCCAATTATAGGCCGTTAAGTCCTGCCTAACAAAAATACTTCCGGCACGTTTGAAAAGACAGCAACGAAATTCACTCTGATAATCGAAAGAAGAGTGGCAAGATTGGGGAACCTTGTCCGATCCCGCTGATTTAGTGTCGCAATAGAGAGGTGTTTGTGTGCCCGCACTCTCCCTGAAATGTTTGTATGTAAGGTTGTCTAGACGGTAATAAACTTGTCAGGCACACCACTAAACAGACAATCCCGGAAAATAGTCCTGTCCAACAAATCCTCTATAAGTCACCTTCGATTCATCAATTGTTCTACGGGCCTCTGTATTATAGCTAAGTTGGTGTAATTAAAGCTTTTTTCAGCTGTCTAAGGTCATCATCCTTTGGATTTTAGTTTGTGCTATAGAAAGTCTAAAAACACCTTTCTATGTTATAGCATTATGCAACCGAGATTTCGAGTCATTTTGTGCTACTCATGACTTTCTTATAGCGTCCAGAATTTCTACGAATCATAACTTATAGTTATATTCACGCCTGTTCTCACTGTAATTCATCTTAAAGCTAATTTGGAGGAAATAAAAAGAGAAATTGCAATGTTATCATTTTGTGGCTGGTTACATTTTATTCTTTTAAGTTTTACAACTCGTTTCTTAATACTCTGTCGATTTCATATTCCCAATAAATATCTAACAATGTAGTTAGATGCTTTCCAATCGTTTCTTAAGAAAACCATTACTATATTGCGTAAGGTGACTGTCTTTTTCTGTATTTTCTATACATAATTGCCTTATCTCACTGAACATGGTTGCCAACTCATTTAGATAATGATGGGTTTCAGCGCATTTGAACGCAGATCTTGCTATCCAGATCGAAAGTGAAGTTCATGGAGGAGGAATTTTCTGCAACTATCAAGGAATATCAAACCGTTTTAGAGTCAGTGGATAAAAAGCTTACGTCAGTCATTACTAACGATCGATTTCTTAATGACCTTATTCCGAAGTCCAATCACGAAGGTGAATTCGTAAACCTGCCAATAAACAGAGAAGTGATGAATGCTATAGAAATTCACTTTGGGCGAGTAAGTCCTGTTTCTGTAGCATACCTGTTTTTACCACAAAATAACAGCCTCAAACATTAATATGTATTTCAGTATTTTCGTTAAGCTTGATCTACATATTCTGTTAGTCTATTCGTGAGATTTGAGACGACAAAGAAAAGTTATTCTGACTGAGGATCCATCAAATTTCCAATGGTTTAAATTCATAATGAATGGCTCACTATATGTGTATATTTGGGGAGGGTGGTTATCTGGGTAAGCTCTATATTATTTATTTGTGTTTAAAGCCTATCAGTAAGGAATTATAATACGGCGGTTGTCAAAACTGTACAAATACGACAATCTTCCTCTCGTGGATAGCTACTATCGTCGATAAAATCCGATTTGTGACGGCGAAGCTCTTTACTAATCCCATTATCAGTCTCCCAACCTCTTTACTATATGTTTCGGTTCATCTACAAGAAATCACTTCGATTTTCGCAACTGGCTTATTCTGCTTTTTTGAGTCGCTTATTAACCCGAAATTTTTATAATCACCTCTAAAGTTTTAGTGTTATTATACTATGCTACCGCTTGTTTGGTATTATATTACTATTATACACAGTATATACTGGTGTGAAGCTAATTGAGATGAAATATTCTTCCACTTTGTTTACTTTCTATCTCGATCATTTAGAATAGCATAATGATTCTCGCAAAGTGGTTTTGATGCGTATTGCTGGGTCTTATTAAAATAGTGTTATTCTATGCAGAAAGAACAAAACATTCCAAAATCACGGTAGTCTAACAAACCTTATTTTTCGCTAGCAAGTAAGCCTACATGCTATGTTTGAGTATGAGTAAGCCCACGTTGTGTTGACAGCAGTATATATATGATTGACTGGAGTTGCTCGAGTTAATTTATGGAAGGTCAGAAACTAATACTTAGTTTTCCACATAGTTCAGTAATCCTATGATTCTAAGAGCGAAAATTCCCTAATTTTTTATTACAAATTGTGCTCAGGTTGTGTTGACAGAAGTGTCCACCAGGAAACACAAACCATTCTTTCCTAATAACCTTCATAAAAATTTATCCCAATACACTCACGTTGATTTGTGTATTTATTTCTGTTATTTGTTTCCGCAGGCTATGCGTCTAACGTTGTTGAGAGGAGATGGTGTAAGACTACCTATGGTAGTTCCTGTTGATGCTCGTGTTTTGGAATTGCGATGGGCAGTACAAGATGCAGTTACTTCGTACATGAACCATCTCCATAGTGCATCAAATTTACCAAAAGATAACTGTAAAGAAGATTCCGCCGACTGTATTCCGTCCAGCAATATTCCTTCGAAGTCGATTAGCTGGCGTAATTTGTGGAAAACGAAATGTCTAGCTCTAGTGAACCCACATAGTTTGTGTTCATCAGAAGGTCTTCCGTCTATCAGTGCTAGACTAGATGTATTAACTAATAAGTTATCATATTATCAAATTCGTAATGGTGCAGTGATCACTTTTGCTCCTCAGCTTAAGCGAAAATGAACATTAATGTGTTTTTACTACTTCACTAAACTATATTTAAGTTTTCCTCTTTTGCGATCTCATTGCTTTTACTTACCAAATAAAGTAGTCATAAGTTATTTTTGACGTCCTTCTCTGTCATCGCTCCTGTTATTTTTGCTAAATTAATACGTCTATTAAGCGTTAACCAATTCACTTAACTATCAAGACAACTGAGGGATTCTTTGGTGGACATACTCAACTAAGGAGTTTACAGAAAAACGCTTGTGAAACCTGAGCTTTGACAGTAAGTCCATATCGGCTCTTGACGTGTCTAAATGTGGAAGGTTTGAACAAGTCAGCTGATATATTAAATCATTGGGAATAAACCTTTGGTCTGGGGATTATGTTGTAATTCGATATGATGATGTGGATAAAGTCGAAGCTTAACTGATTTTAACTAAAAGCACCACTTGAATGACGAAGATCCACTTTACAAAATATATCGGGATTGACAGTTCTACAGCTTACCAGACAAGATATTAGTTACAAACTAATTCAATCATCTGAATAAAGTAGTATCAAGTCAAATCAATAGATTGACGGAAATTGGTGTTTCTTAATTCCACCGTCGGACTAAAACTATTGGGAAATTGAAATGGTCTATTTGAAACTAATGTATATTCAGATACATCTAAATCTGCCACTTGGTAGATCCATAAGACTGGAATCACCCTAGACTTAATGTTCCTGACAAGTTTTCATCAAGTACATTTTATATGCCAACACATGATGGTAATGCAAAGTAATTTGGCTTTAATGAAACAGTGAATAATCTAATCACGAATAGTAACTAGAATCGACTGCATTAACCATTGCTGTATTTTCAAGAATAGTTTGGCTTTTCGTAAAGTGTATTTCGGAGTTCAGTTCAACTATTTACAAATTTAACACTTTGTGAAGCAACGTAATATGAATAACTATTGTAACCATAATTTTGGCAACAATCAAAATAAATGAATTATAGTGAATAAGTGTGTAAAACAATGTGGTTTTGTTGTTCTGTCACTCTCGTAGTATCTATTTGCAATTAACAGACTAATCACTTTCTGCACCATGTCTATCTTCAATCATCTCTTGATGCCATTGGTTAAATGCTTCCGTTAAGCATGTAACAGGGCAGTATATCGCAGATTTTAAAGGAGAATTAGTCCTGCGCCAATAAAGACGGTATGCTCGTATAACACGTAACTAAAATTCCAAAATAAACGCAGTGTATTATGAAGCATTCGATTCTCAACTCTTATGAATAGTTTGTATCTTAGAGCAACCAATCAGTATCTGATCAACATTTGAGATTTCCCTTGAGCGTTTGTTGTAAATTTTATGGATAATGTATCCTTATATAAATATCTCATTGAGTTATAGATATATGTTCTTAAGTTGTAGACAATATCCAGCAAGACTGAATTTATTATTAAAGTTCTGTCTGATAATTCAGGATTTTGTTTAATAAAACTGAAAATTTACTTGCTCAACGGGAAGGATCTCATATGTAATGCTTCACAGCTTGCTTTATATTCAATATATTTCAGATAACCCTGGTAAGCTTTAGAATCTCAAATAACGTTTTATAAAAGATCACTAATCAATTGACGAGGGCATATTACGTGGACAATTCTCAGTTTTTGGGTAAGCACTGAAATATCATAATAAATATTTATACTTACCGGTTCGCTGTAGGTAAAAGTATTCCCTGAACGTGTATAAAAGTAAAATCTGGGAGATTTGAGAGTACTGTTTGAAGAGAACCTAGATTCTGTTACCAATAGATCATCTATATCTCGGATCCCAGAGTCCTGAGGAAGTCTCCTGAATATTTCAGTAAGAATGGATTCTTTGGAATGTTTTCTCTGTCCGTACATAAGAAAATAAATTATACTTGAAAACAGTACCATGTGGCAATTATTTGAGCGCGTATTTGCGTCCAAAATATATGAACTACTTAGTTCCGTGTATGCTACGTACGAAACATTGTGGCCACCAGAATAAAGACAAGATTTCTGAGATGGCAATAAACGAGGTTAGAAGCATAAACCAAAAACAAAATGGGCCGAAATGTGTGGAAAATTGAGAAAAAAACAACTTATTGCACGTGAGATAATGTCCACGCACCTAGATATAGTTTTGTAGTGATTTGCAGGAAGTCGACTGCAAAAACAGCTCATTTCTTTTTAGAGGCTGGTAATATTTTTTTAAACTCTCACGAGACTTCTGAATTTAAATAAACAACATCCTAAGCGATAAAAGACATCATGAGTCCCAATAATGAATACTATACAATTTGGTAGATAAATACGTCAATGAATGAAAGGTAAAATCCAACTAATAAGTTTCTTAGCGAGGTATTGAGTGAATTAGATTTAGCTAATGAGATCACGAGTTATCCATTGTTAAGACACCTAACTGACAAAATGTCTATGTAAATTATAGACAATATAGTGTAGCCACTCATCACGCGAATCAAGCTTAATTACTATCCGCTTTTTTTATCCACTCGTAAGGTCATTTTCAGAGAAAGATACTTTCCTAAGTATGATTAACAGATATGATAATTGGATTGTTGTACTAGATTATCATCAGTAAATAAATTAAAATGGATCAAATTACTGAAAAAATGACGAGATAATTTGCAGAAGTTTTTAGAAGAGAGATTTATCATCTTGATTGATCAGAACAAAGTAGATCATTCATTAGAAGACTTGGAAAGATATCAAAACCAGAGCTTCAGTAACAAGTTCAGGGTAAAACGTTGGTATTTACAAAGTGGTCAAACACTATTGAACAGTTCTATTGGCTCTTATTCATTTTCCACACCGATAAAATAAAACAGAATAGGGAATGTAAAAATAACATTTAGATTTCTCGATTCATTTATCATCAATGTAGGGGTCTCGGACGAATTTGTATCAGTCCAAAATACTGTTATTCCCAGCAGAACAACGATAAGGGGAATTTCCAAGGCGACATGTGAAGCAGAGGAACTAATTTTAATTATCTAGTAGTGAACGTAAATATATTTAGTCATTTAGCCCACAAAGTATTAAATAAGTGATTTCCCCTCCTTTCACTGAGAACAACTGCTTTGTAACTGTGCTGAACAAAGTATTATCTAATCTATAATCTGGTTCTCTATTCTGGGTCGGAAATCTTGGATCTGATATAACGTGTTATCGTAGTATACTTGAGGAAGAGAGCTGGAAAATATTCCATGCTATCCGTTATATAATTTAATTATAGAAAAATGTGAGAAAAGCAGCTTGAAAGGTATAGATAAGATCAAACAATGAAAATTAACCAACGATTTTGAGGAAGATAGGAAATTAATAGAGATGAATCAATGCAAAAATTTATGCCGTACTGCCTGCTATTCGAACTAATTCCTGATATATGAACTATTGTGAAGATAAATGTCTTTAAAATGGGTCTCAGAAAGATATAGTTGGTCTGTAATTTTTTAATAACTTTATTTTAATTAGCATAATTTAGATTCATCAGTGAATTAAGACATAAGTGGACTGGTAACATAGAGATTAGTATTTGACAAGTATCGAATACATAAGATAAAATATTTGTTAAATATTTTTAAGAGTTTATGTTCTGGAAATGTCAAGACAAATATGATTATCCATTTTGAGATCGTCAAACAGAAGGATAAGTTACTTCTTATTGTTACTAACAATAGAGACTGAAGTTAGAACTGGTTTGACGTGTTTTTGGAATGTCCTAGGAAGGCTGATGTGATTTATTTTCCTAGGACGAACGATTCTGTAATGTACAGGATTGTCATGTACTATACTAGATACCCAGGCGTAAGACTTATCTCTCACAAGTTACACCAACTCCGGTTGAGAACACGATATAGGGATGGATCAACGTATATAAAGTTAGGACAGTTACGAAGGGCTGAGTAAAATCTGTATTACGCTTCATACATACCTGTCTATATGCAATTATTAACCATCCACCGTTCACTTTCACCGACATGCTAACGTCATTCATCTTTTTGATCGTCAAGGAGTTCTTGGTCGGTGACGAGCTCATTGGACCCAAAGTCACCAGACTGAATAGTCTATGTGACATCAGTCATTCATTGCGTCGGAGTAAGAAAATTTCAAGTTTAATTTTATGCATATTTTAAGTTAGTTGAGATATGATTACATAGTACTTGCATATATATATAATTAGGTTTTGTGCTTACCGTTTTATTAATACGAAACTAGTAAGATGGTGCTTGTCGTTTCATGAGGTTGATGACGTTTCAGACCTAAACAAAACTTCACAAGTTTGACTTTTCAAAACCTAAAAAACATGGTCATATGACGGTGTATAGTCTGGTGGTGTAATGTTATTATAGTAGGTGAAAATATATTATCAAATATTTGTGAAATGCTGTTAAACAAACAAATTATGGATCGATCACTAATGTGCATAAGTACAGGATTATATCTATCCACAAGACTCATTGAACTAAAAAGGTCCAATAATTAAGGTATGATACAAAAATTACTATAAAATGTAAACTAACTTTATTATTTGACGTCACCCCGAATGTCCTGTAATGAGGTGAAATTGGTTCATAGCATAGACTTTTTCTAGGACCTAGTCCTAACCCCATCGATCGTAATGTTAATGATTCAGTTGCTACTTCATTGATTAAATTAGGGAACTTTTTGGGATTGAAAGAATGTGGGTGACTGTTATTTTCACCAATTGGTGCATAGTATATCATTTCATATACACTATCAATATAGGTATACAGATCTCGATTTAAAATACGACGTATTAGAGACTGTGCCTGTTGAATTCGAGGAAGAAAAGTTTCCGAAGTAACTCTTGATAATGATCCTCGTCCATAAAAAACATCCCACAAAAGTGAATCATGGAGTTTAAGAAAATCACTCAAACTATCTGGATTCTGATATTTTAATGCGTTCATGCTAATGGATCGAAGATTAAGTACAGGTTCTATTAATTCAAGAGCATCAATAATCATAGCCTACAAAAAGGAGAATAAAACAATAGTCGAATATAGGAATCCAAAGTTTGGAATGTCTGAGATGGTGAGTTTACAATTTCTTGAAACCTTTTAAAAATTTAATGTTTGCATACTCTGAACTCAACAAATAAGTTCCATATGAGTGAATATGTCTTCGAATGATGTACTTCGATACCATTCAGTAATATTCAGCTTTCCTTATCATAGTTTGAACAACGCACTGAAATGTAGCAGATTTATGATTAATTTTATTAAGCCGCTCGTTCACAAAGTCATAATTATCTCAGTATATTTTTAGTTTCACTGTGAGAGTTTTGCAAAATATTAATGCCTAATCGTGTACGTGGGCAAAGGAAGGCTATAAAGAGGTTTCTGATTTAAAGTAAAATGATTTAGCTATGTAGATCACCTCCCAATAAAAAGTTTTTCAAAACCACAAGTATTAAAAAAGGAACTTATTGAAATACAGAACTACTCTGAATTTCAAATTAAAAAAAAACATTGTATAAAGATAAATGAAACTATTCAGTAAGTGGGATGTTGGATCTATACAATTAAACAATACTGAATCTATCTTTTGAACTGTTGTCAGAGCAAAATAAAGTCTAAAGTATTTTTTAAAAACCTCATCACGGTTTTGGTGAATCCCAGAAACTATTCACTCACACTGAGTCGACATTACTTCTAATTTAGACAAACAAATTTTAAACTAGTTAATAATTCTAGCATTTCTAAGAGTTTCAAAATCCCAAACTTAGATTGCATAATTGCAATTATGATTTTTAAATATCACAGGTTGTAAGCAGCTGACGAGAACCTACGAAATAAAATGAATTCATGCTATTCTGCTAGAATGTTTTTTCTTGCTCTTTTTAAAATGATAAAGGGAACTATGTGTATAAAAAATCCCAAACTTAGTAGCATCATCTTAAATCAACATTGGTTTGGGTTTGTTGAATGGTAAAATAATGTCTTATGCTGTATTTTCACCATTTCATCTATGGTGAGAACAGTGGAGTAGTTAGTATGCACACACCACTGCCCTTCTTTCCTACACATTGGTTTAAACCATTAAAAAGACTGCATGTATTTGAAAGATGAAATAATAATCCTTTTTTAGTATCTGAAATAACAGAGAAGCAGACTAACTTACAGAAATAGCTGTCACTGTTTTGTGTTGATAAACTTTTTGATGAAGATGCTGTCGTAAACTGAATGTTCGAAGCAAATTTTCCAATTCTGTATCTCTAAATGATAAATGCCAACATTTTGATTCATTCTCGTCACCTTTGTCTTTATCAGTATGTAGAAATGGTCGGTAAAATCTTAAAAATCTATCAATATCCACACTAGTCCCACTAGCTCCCAAACCAGAATGCAGACAATCTCGGAGTAGATAATCCCATTTGTCAACATCCATACCATTTAAACTATTGGAGAGAATCTGAATTTATTAAGACAAAGTAAAATTTAATAATCATAATAAGTACTAATAACTAATTTAAAATTGTAATTCGCCAAAACCTACTAATTCAATATTTGTTCATAATAATAAGAAAGTTCAGATCATTCAATCGTAAGTATCGCATGACCACACTTATATTGTATTCAGAAGCATCTTTGAAATGACGTTAACATAATAGGATGACAAACTTTATTACAGCTTTTAAAGATGTTTCTAAAACTTAAAAATAACTTACCTCATAAATAAATGATTTATTCTTCAATGAATCCTGTGAAAAGTTCAAATTAGAGAAAATGGAATACAACATATTAAATTCAGATAGTTATTTCTAAAGTGATAATTATGAAAAAACATGAAACGATTATTCTGGTTATATATATATATATATATATATATATATATATATATATATATATATATATATATATGACTCCAGTTAAATCGTGTGCCCATTGTCATAGAAATATACATCTCAGATAACTTCGTACATAATTATCGATCGAAATAGCGTTAGTGAATAACGGGATTAAATAAGTCAAATATGAGAATGAATTTTTGAATAAGTATATTTCATACACTCGTTGATCTGAACAGACAATCAGATAAACGAAGTGGAGCAGAGAAAACGAGTGAGCCAACTCGCTTTGACCAAGTGTGACTCAACATTTATATTCAGACAAAAGTAAATTACAGACACGTAATGGATAAGATGAGCAATTAACGTGTATACGATCATATAAAAAAGTCAAGCGAATAACTGCCAAGGTCAAAATGAATAAATTGGTCTGTCCATGAGCTAGAATGTCCCATGTGGGCTTGACATAGTACCAGCCACTATATATATATCCAGTATCTGATTTCTGGGCGGAAACTAATGTCGTTACTAGTCTGTTTATTGTTGATAGAATTCTATCAACCAGGCTAGGATGTGACTCCTACTTTAAGTGTCTCGAGATCACATGTACTGTTCTGATAGTAGGGTGGAGGAGGGAATTTGCAGGAAATCTTGAGACTGGATTTCGCACCATTTTTCACCTATCATTAAGTCGTATCTGCCATCTTGGGGAAACTAGTGATTTTTGTCAGATCTACGTCTGTCAATTAAAGGATGACAGTTACGACTCGGTAGTCAATTATCATAAAAATCTAAGTCCTGTAGGTGGTCAATCACAATTCTAGTACGACACTGATAACCTCTCTGACTGTGACAATGGGTAGTGTGGGTTTGAATCTTACGAGGAACATCAGTACGATAACTAGAAGTATTCGGATTATTGTACTAACTAGGAATTACCTTGACAGTGCGATTGAAGCCAGACAGAACTAGATTAGCACAAACGAGCGTATTGTATTTGGAATTCGTAATCATCAGGTAATCAAGTACAAGAGAATCATTAGCTCATACGAATAGCATAATCAGTTTACTCAACATTATGCTAACAAGTTTCACCTGGCATGAAAGGTTCATATAGGGCTTCGTATTGGCTATGGTCAACACAACTTGACATAGACAAAATGTTCTTATCGAAGTTGATGCAGGAGTAAGCTAGCTAGTTCCAAAGAGTAATCATCACTAAGATGAAAGTAAACTTCAATTTAGTATTTAACGTTTAACCTAATTTATATAAAACCTAAAATCATTGGATTCGATTCCAAGAACAGTCAATTCTTATAACCTTTCAATGGTTTCTTAGAGTAAATTGTTGTCATCATAGATACTATCTTCAGGCTAAATGAAATTTATCTAATTAAAGAAACATTATAATTTATAACAAAGTCTACAAGATATTGCATCACGACTAATTGAGTATATTAAATAAATTATTCAGAATGACTTCTAAGGCATTACCTGTTGTGATAATACAGTATTAGTATCACCTAGTATCAGACTGCGTATGAGATTCATATCAACGCCAAGATTATTTAATTCACTTTGTAGGGTAGGTTTTGAACAAATAATTTGATAAAGTACATGCCCACTAATTGTTTCATGCTATACAGATGCGAAATAAAAAAACTGGAGAAGTTAACCTGAATTAATATGTATAGGGTAGGGTTAAAACTGCCACATTTTTAAAGTATGTACAGAACCTCACATATGCGTCAATGCCTTTTCGATGTTCGCTTGATCTAGGTAAATACCGATCCCATTGCGGTAGGAGTATATTATTTGTTTGGCATTATGGTCATCACAATGTACCAACTAGCCACATTACAACCAATGATCTAATGAGAACACTGAACAGACAAACAAAGTATGTATTATTATCATATATTATGTTACGGTAAGTGCAGGGGATAGGGTGAATATATATTACAAGTCATATATATCTATCTATCCAGCCATTTAGGACGTCAACCAATCACCGCTATGTGCCATCTACACAACACCACCCTCGCCGAGTTTGTTCGTCAGTATTTGGCCTTAAATTAATTTGAAAGAAATCCCACCCGCATTTCTTATTGTCACTATCATTTTACGGACTTACAGCTGCAATGCATTTGAAGTAGTAGTGGTGATAACATCAAACGTCTCATATTTCGGTTGGCTTGAGATGACTGACTGCTCATTACTTAGCTAGTCAGAATCGACAAATATCTATTCGGGTTTTGGAGAAACTTATTTCGATGACTTTTGCTTTTCATTAGAGTAGAAATACCTTTATATGATTCTGAGGATGTTTAAAATTGCTTGTAAAGATTTAATGTCATCACAGAGTGAAAATTACAATGTTAAGTGTACCAGGTGCTTATTTTTTTAAGTACAAATTTTACGCCACAGGTGGGTAAAACACTTCAAAGAACTCTTGAATCGACCAGCTCCACTGAACCCACCCAACATAAAAGAAGCGCTCACGGACCTCCCAATCAATGTTGGCCCACCAACAACTGAAGAGATCAGCATAGCCACTAGATAAATAAAGAGCGACAAAGCAGCAAGACCAGACAACATTCCAGCAGAGGCACTGAAAGCAGATGTAGCAGTAACTGCAAGGATACTCCATATTCTCTTCAGCAAGATTTGGGATGAAGAACAAGTACCGAAAGACTGGAAAGAAGGACTTCTGATCAAAATATCAAGGAAAGGCGATCTCAGCAAGTGTGATAACTACAGAGGCATCACTCTTCTCTCAATACCAGGAAAAGTATTCAACAGGGTATTGTTAAACAGGATGAAGGACTGCGTAGACGCCCAACTTCGTGACCAACAGGCAGGATTCCGTAAGGATAGGTCGTGTACAGACCAAATCACAACTCTACGGATCATTGTGGAACAATCAATTGAATAGAATTCATCACTCTACATCAACTTCATTGACTACCAAAAGGCATTTGACAGCGTGGACAGAACAACACTATGGAAGCTTCTTCGACACTACGGCGTGCCTCAGAAGATAGTCAATATCATGCAGAATCCATATGATGGATTAAACTGCAAAATCGTTCATGGAGGACAGTTGACAAAGTCGTTCGAAGTGAAGACCGGTGTCAGGCAAGGTTGCTTACTCTCACCCTTTCTCTTTCTCCTGGTGATCGACTGGATCATGAAGACGTCAACATCTGAAGGGAAGCACGGGATATAATGGACATCTAGGATGCAGTTGGACGATCTAGACTTCGCAGATGATCTGGCCCTTCCATAGCAATCACAACAAATGCAGGAGAAGACGACCAGTGTAGCAGCAGCCTCAGCAGCAGTAGGTCTCAATATACACAAAGGGAAAAGCAGGATTCTCCGATACAACACAGCATGCACCAATCCAATCACAATTGACGGAGAAGATTTGGAAGATGTAAAAACCTTTACAGATTTGGGTAGCATCATTGATGAACAGGGTGGATTTGATGCAGATGTGAAGGCGCGGATCGGCAAAGCAAGAGCAGCATATTTACAACCGAAGAACATCTGGAGCTCAAAACAATTGTCAACCAACACCAAGGTCAGGATTTTCAATACAAATGTCAAGACAGTTCTACTGTATGGGGCAGAAACCTGGAGAACTACAAAAGTCATCATCCAGAAGATACAGGTGTTTATTAACAGTTGTCTACGCAAAATACTTCAGATCCGTTGGCCGGATACTGTTAGCAACAACCAACTGTGCGAAAGAACAAACCAGATCCCAGCGGAGGAAGAAGTTAGAAGGAAGCGCTGGAAGTGGATAGGACACACATTGAGGAAAGCACCCAAATGCGTCACAAGGCAAGCCCCCACATGGAATCCTCAAGGCCAAAGGAAAAGAGGAAGATTAAAGAACACATTACGCCGGGAAATGGAGACAGATATGAGAAAAATGAACAAAAATTGGATAGAACTGGAAAGGAAGGCCCAGGACAGAGTGGGTTGGAGAATGCTGGTCGGCGGCCTATGCTTCATCAGGACTAACAGGCGCAGTAAGTAATTAAGTCTAGTGTCTGAAAAAGTACGTTGGATACTAAATCACGTGGTTATTTCTTTTTAAGATTAGGTGTTTGATATATGTCTTTTACAATCATCAGTTTTATAAACAAACTTGATGGTCTGATATATGGATGACCCTGACTTATTTTCGCATCTAAATGACTAATGTTAGCATTAGATATCTGTGGAATGACAAGTTTTCCAAATAAACGATGCTATAGTGAATAATAGACATAAAACACTAGGCATGAATCATATTTAGGAAAAGCTCAGACTAACATCAACAGAAAATATTTCGGTACGATTTTAATCAACATTTGTTCAAACTAACAGTGATCTTGAATTATTGATTTCTAGAAAGCATAATTATCAGTTGGGTGGTTTCAATAAGTCAACATACTAAGAATACATTACACGAACTGAAGTTGTTTCGTTTCAAATCCTTTGGCTTCTTTCGAAAGCACTTCTACGTTAGTAAAATGAAAGCCTATAAGGTAGTCTAAATTAAAATCTTAAGAATTAGTAGAGAATAAGTTTGGCAATAAGGACTAGAAACTTAAACAATTTTCTCAATGTCTTGATAATACGCCACAGATCTATCAGATTTATTTACACTCCTCTGTAGTTAGCTGATATTTCAAACTAAATAGTTTGAAAGACCAGACCAATAAGTCAGTTATTTGTTATGTACAATTTGGAACATGTAAATTACTTCAAATCACAGCAATACACTAGAGTATCGAAATGAAATTAGCGAGACGAATCTCAGAAAGGTAAAAGTAGTGTAAAAATCAAGCACGGATTTCTCAGTGGTAATTTTCCTGCAGTTATTATCAAACTTAATTCACTTACATTATATTCACTATATTCTGACCCGCCCCTTTTGACGAACTCTTCCCATAAATGAGAAAAAGGTCCATGACCTGTTTTAAAATAAAAAACAAAAGTTCATGCAATGGTTTATAGTTATTATTCGTTTGTCTACAAAGTTTTTGATTTTCAAGTAATTCGTTTTCACTAACTATGAATTAATCTCCATAAAAAGAAAAGATGCGACAAACACAATCGTCATTGAAATATAACGAATTCCGACACCTATTTTATTATTACAGCACAAAAGCTTTTCTGAGGAATCAACTGAAGCTGGATATTTTCAAGTGTAATAGTGAACATTGGATTTAAGTGATCTATGATTCGTACCACCAGCTAATAGGATTTCACAATAAAAGTTTTTTTCTTGACTTCATATTTCTAAAGTGCGTTATTTGCTTCAATGACTGTTTTAAAGTCACTTTTCTGTTCAGTACGGGATTATAGTATAGAATTATCTGAAAATGTACGTCAATGCTTATTTAAGTTATAGAGGTACTTCTTTAATATTATTACACTCATTGTACCAGCATTCCTTCATCTCGTGTTACAAGCTAATTTTTGTATTGTTCGGACAAACTGAAGCGCTATAATGACAAGAAACTACTCGTTGCAACGCTTCATTATTCATTAATGAAATGTCAAATTATGTCGCAAACATTCTCTATCCTTAATCTTTTTCACCATCACTGATAATACTACTAATGACACTACTTTGATACTCAACTTGATGATTTCATTCTACTGAGCCGATAAGGTGTGGGACCTTGAATCAATGTATGTTATGTAATGTCCTACTTTCATTACGACTGACTAACTAACTGAATATTGTATATATTGTTAAGAGTAGTTTTATAAACTGGAAGAAAACATTCGAAAAACTCTAAAGTAAATGATATAAACCGCAACGAACTCGTACATTTCGGTGAAGTCTTCTGAAAAAAATTACCAAAATAATATAAACAAGGTAGTTAGACCTGTGAGTAATTTTAACTCAAAGTCAAACAAATCTCTAGTTCTCCTCATATTTCCACTATCCCGTAGCATGTTTCGACTCATAATGATCATTTTTGAAATGAATATAAGATGTTGTCAAACGTCTTAAATTTCAGAATTATTAACTGAAAACTAAAAAACCTGCTTTTATGAGATTTATTTATCTCGAATTCGCTTCTATAGCTACCGGTTTGCTTTTGAGCCCTTCATATAATCCTGTCAAACGGATTTTCGAAGTCTTCTAAGTGTCTGAAGTGACCGGAAAAAGTGTCGGATGAGCAGAACTGCTTCTAACCGTAAAATTTTGATTAAGAAATGCTCTGCGTAAATGTCTAGTGTGACCATTGGCAAGCAAACTAGATGTTTTGATTACTTTTCATAAGTTTAACCTCATTGGTTCTTAAAGGCCGGTTAACGAATAGACCTGTATCCCTCAATAAACACCATTTCGCATTTCAGAACGTTATCATCTCACCTAGTGTGATGGATTTTCGGTGCCTATTGTAACAAAATGATCATATTGTTGGTGGAAATTTAAAACACTCAGAAATTATGTCGTGTGTCGACTCACCTAAATCATGACATAAGGCAGCAATTCTAATGGCTAACTGTTCTGAGGAGCTCAAAGCTGGACCCGAGTAATTTTTATCATTGTGAATAGTCTCAAGCAACTTTTTGGCCATATGATAAGTACCAATCGAATGTTCAAATCGCGAATGTTGACAACTTGGAAAAACAAAATAAGCAATACCTAATTGCTTTATTTCTCGAAGACGCTGAAATTCAGGAGAATCGATCAACTGAACAGCTAGTGACTCCAGCTCTATTACACCATGAACTGCATCTTGAACAATCTGTATTATAAAATTAGAATGTTCAGCAACGGAGTGGTTTAGGTCATAATTCATTATTTTCTTACATAAGTACTGTATAAATCTTAGTCAACTAAAGATTCTAAGTTCCATCAGCACATCAGTAGTGAATAAATAATCTAATCTCTGTATTAATGAAACACCCTACTATTATCTATTCCCATATATAAATTATTCATGCAAAATACTAATCCACAGAACCTAACCTTCAGGATTATTGATGGAATTTGGTAAGGTATGCTTGAATTAAATTAAATTACTGGTGATTTCTGTAAAATACGATCCATATTGAATGTTTATACAATACGGATTCAAGTATTCATGAAGCTTTGTTACCCAGAGCTCTTTGGTTCATAGTGTTTAATTCAGAAAGTAAAATTATAATAGAATGTCTAATTATATTAGAACTGGAAGAGGAGCATACCAACTATTGTAGGATCTTTGATTTGTTGCATAAACTCACACATTTCCCAAAGCATTACTCGTGTATATTTGGACCAGTGAGTATTGTTGAAATTTGAGACACGTATCACATATTGCTAACCACTCCATACCTTGATGAATGATGTTATCTGGCGAAGGAGTAGGTTGATAAAAGGATGCGGACGGTAAAAACAAGATATAATATCAGTCAACGAAGTCACTGTCGAATTGAGCCACGTTAAAAGTCATACACTACTTGGTTAGATCCTGTGCTGTCATCGTAACCAGTAGTTGGCTATGTAGGATGACACGGTCCAAAGTCGGTAGTAGATCCTAAGTTTTCAAATCATTTTATTATTTTGTATAATAATTGCGTAAATTCTTATTTTGATCTGGAATCACATCTTCTATATCTAATCTTTTCTATACCATTTGACTGTTGCTAAATCTAATTCTACAGGACTGAACTTCGCTCTATTATCACATACAGACCTTACTCGCAGGTCATTTTTATATAACCGCTTTGCGTAGTTTAAAACAGATCACTTTATTATCTGGTTTGCGCTTCCGATCATTCTACAAAATATTGCTTCTTCAATCTCAAACACAGAGTTTCAAGCTGTAAATGACAATATTGACATTTTACTAAACTATGCCAGGATGTTTTTTAAGGTAAATGAAAAACTAACATATATCAACTGACGTTTTGGTAACCGGAAACAATAACTATCAAAATATTGTCAAGAGTATAAAGTTCCTAATAAGTTTCTTAAATGATATGTATGCTGATCGTGCATGACATGAACAAAAACACGGGAGAGCATAAATGTCTTTTAAACTAATCGCACTTAGCGAATCATAAGCAAATACATACGTAGTACAAATGTTAATCATCTCAAGTTTCCACCCATCAGTACAGTGCTGTGAATGTAACAATTCCGATAAAAACATGAAAAAGCTTACACAAAAACGTATGCAAACTTTCTCGCAGCTGGAATTGTAGCGGTAAATGAATCCTCAAAATAAATAGTCCCATAAGTCTTCGATGTTGACTTCATCAGTTTTACTAGACACATCCAAGCTAAAAACACTTGGTCAGGCATCCACACCAGACCATCAGTGGGCAAGTTGTGCTACGTATCTATCGTAACAACTAGTCAGCTTGGATCACAAACTTCTCGAAATATCAAATATCTCTCAAAAATATCCTCGAACTACTTCACTATTGACTTCCAGTTTGATTGGGTTTGAGATCGTTCGGTTATAAAGGTGTTACGAACAAAGAAGTTGTCTAATTCTGAATATCCGTGGCATCTTAAGAATCATTAATGTATGGCTCACCATTAGAAATGATAGTGATAACACAACAAGGTAGCCAGTGGCCAAGCATATGTAATATGCATCCCATAAAGAAGTCCTATTGCTATTCTTATACGGTGGTACATCCAGATTTAGGATCGTTTAGTCGATTGTTTCGTTTTTCATAAACGTTCTGTGTTTCTAAAAGCGATGTCACTCAACTATAAAGCACAATATTTGGTTACTGTGTACTATATTAGCCCCTTGGTTTGATGACGAGCATGTAATCTATGCCGCAGGTAAAACGAGTTGATTAAAGTCATCGATTATTCGGAATGCATGCTGCAAGCATTGGCTCTAGTTGTGTTTGAGTAAACAGCCTCTATAAATTTTACATAGCTCTTTAGCACATATTTTAACGGCGACCTCCCACAAAATGCTGTGGAATCGACTATTGTTCGGTGTAAGCACGCCGACAATCCGAAACCTCTCATAAGTCAATATTTGATCACCACTCTTCTTCTTGTTTAAAGAAAGCCTAATTTTTCAGCGTTTACACATAATTAATGAATTTAAAGTAAACTTTATGGAGATATTGATATAAACACGTTTCTGTTTAGCTAGGAAACTCCCTAAAAGTTTTAATATTCCCCTAAAATTCCACACATTCCAAACAATTTTTGCCAAAGCCTATAAAATTTAAGTAATATATTTCAATTAGAGTATATTTCCAAGCTGCCAATTTTGGGGAAAATTTGGCACACTTTGGGGAAGCCGCTATAGTAAATTTTGAGGAAATGAGACGCAAACCCAAAAATTTCCCCAGATCTGGGGAAATCCCCGAAATTTCCTCAAAGTTGGCAGCTCGGGTTCCTTTCAATGAGGAACTGTCAGTACTTAAAACTCAACTGGTTGATGAATTATTTACAGTAGACGTAACAAGGTAAAGTTTGTGTATTAAGATTAACATTACCTTGGAAGACATTTTACTGTTGTAGAGTGCAATTCGACCAGATTGCTGGAAGTACCGTTGGAGTAAATCTTCAGACGGGATGACAACAAGCTCTTTACTTTATTAGCGTCGAACCAACTGCAATCTCTCAATTAGACGTATTGATACAACCACCTTTTATTTAGTGATTTTCACACCAAAGGTCGTTTTAATCCTACTGTTTCTAACGTTGCGTTAATAATTGGTCTCGGGATCGTGTTACAAAAACCAAGTGTCGCAGGTAAACACCCATGTAGCTTGAATCAAGATGAACAAAAACACCAAGTAATGATATCTTCATATTACAACGTATATAAAACTCTGCACGACCCTTAGATTTTATTATAAAACAAGGTTTTCAAGAGCTTAAAGCTCATCGTCGGTTCTCCTCCAAGAATTCTAATCGTTCTTTTTGGTGTTTGGTCTAACTACCTTCTGTGTCCTAAAATTTCCTCGTCATAGTATGTGACCGCGTTAATTCTCTGATAAGCAGAAATATCAAGATTATTTTCTAGTTGCTAAAAATATGAAGCTCCTTCTGGTAGAGCCACTAAGTTGTAGGGAGTGTAGCGGTAAATAAATCTCCAAAATAAATAGCTCTGTAAGTTTTCGACATTGGATGCTGAACACAGGTCTTAATGGACTCACCTAGCTAAAGGCGCTCGGTCATGCATCCGCACCAGATCACGTGTGGGAACGCCGTGCTCAACATCTACTGCAATCGCTAGCCAGACTAGATCAGACAATTCCGATATATTGGCAATCGTCAAATACAACTTCTGATCTCCTCGATTCTGTCTTTTGATTTCTCTTGGTGAGTACGAGTTATATTAGATGTTACTGGCTAAGGCGTTGTCAAACACTGAATACCTGTGCCATCTTCAGGAGAGTGAAGTGTCAGTGAACCTTGACCAAATAATTTATCAGTCTATGTTAAACGGCCGGTCATTGACCGTTTGATAATCTAGTAGAGATAGTCAGGGTCAAGGATGACTAACACAGACTGATCAGTCGCACGCTATTATGACAGTGTTTGAAGAGCTTTTGGCACGAAGGTGGCAGTTGCGGTGTGGAGTGACTGATCATGTTGCTGGGTTGTAGCTGGTAATTAATTCGGACTCACACTAGACTGGTTGTGCTTCTGGGTGTGATAGTAACTCTTAATCATTGTGCATGTTAAAGAGTCTCAAGCTATGTCTTTCACCCTTACTGTGTATGCCTCGTATAACTGTTACAGTCATGAACTGGCCAGTATTAACAATGGTTTCATTCTGTCTTTTACCTACTATTATATTTTTTAAAAATCTTCATACATTTTCTGTTCACTTGTCAGTTGAGCACAATCATCTAGGTAACACGAGAGGCCAATCTAGGTTAGGTATTATCTGTGGATTATAATGTCGACCTAACCAGGCAGTTCCTGCCAAATCTTATAGACAGGGCCCTTCTACACAGATCACACAAATTCGTGATCTACAAAGCAATAATATAACAGTTTACAGATTCGTAGTGCTTTCGGTCTGTGAAGAGATTGTTGCCTATTTATGTATCTCCTTTAAGTAGCTATATTTTGCCTTGTGTGTACCGAAATATTTCTAAAAAACATGACCTAAAGACATACTTTTGACAACTTACATCACCTGTAGCGAAGGTGAGATATCTGACTGTTAATTAAGGGGCGAGTATACTGCAAGGCAACTCGCTCTGCTCCGCAAAACGTGGCCATCAAGAGTAGAAGATACTCGTAAGCTACCTATATTGGACCACAGATGTCTTAGAAATATTGCTGGCATCTGCTGGGATCATCGTGTAAGTAATAGTAAAGTTAGACGCAGGGAATTAGGAAATGATGGGAAATCACTTGATGAGGTTGTGAATCTGTAGTGGCATTGGACCCTAACTACACAATCCTCAAAGCCAAACACGAAACGCTTAGGAAAATAGATATTCAACATTTAACGCGGAGGAAAACCTAACGATGAGGAAGGCGGGAACAATCAATTCGAGTTGATCGGATGGCATTGCTCGGCCTTGCAGGTGTGGTCCCTATTGAATGAGTTGGTATAGACGATGATGTAACTTCCACTTAAGATCTTATAGATTAGTCCGTTATATCATGACGAATCTGAAATTTTAGGATTAGGTCCATTATAGAGCAGTACTCATAACGAAATAGCCCATAATTCTACAAATCTTCATCGACTGAGATGGTTTGGCCACGTGTTGCATATGCCCGAACACCGATTACCACGACGCGCAATGCTCACTGGTGTTGGGGATGGTTGTAAGAAGAGTAAGGGCGGCCAAACCATTAGTGCTTGAAGTTACTTCTAGTTATAGTCATGTTGATAGATGCAGACTACTTGGTTGGGGTCCGCGTGACTACCGTAACGAATTCTTGGATACTCTGTGTGACGTGGCTCAGAATCGTTCACAATGGCGTAGGTGTATACACTCGTTGTCTTCCCTTAAACTGTGAAATCAAAGTTGCTTTATATCTTTATTTCTACCAACTAATTCTTTCTTCCTGTACTATGTCCTTATATGCAACCTACTACAACAACGAAACTTTAAAAGTGGAAGCCGTAGCCATTCACAATCGCTCTCAGTAATCCCACCGTTCTAAAGAAAAGGAATTATGAATCAGAACGGGTAATTGTTAATGTAAAATATGAAGGAATCAGTAAGTAGCATCTGAAGTGGGATGGATTATAAAATGTAATTAAGTCACTTATGTTCAGTGTAGCTCTTCACTTATGTCACTGATTATTAACCAGTCAGGAGTCATTCTGACTACATTTATCACTGTTGTGTCTTTTATCAGTCTACTCACTTTTGTGCAGATGATAACTTTTCTAATCTAGATTAAGACTTTGACGCAATATTCTGGCTGGCTTAACTTTCAGACTAGCATGCGTGAGTTTCAAGTGAGACCAACTGCTCGAGGTAGAGAGAAGAAAACTTTTCTATCACCTGATTGACTGACAAGCACGCAAGTGAGAGAAGACAAGTCAACCGGAACACTACACGACTTATTACCAATTGCGATCTGGTTCCCGATTCCAGAATAGTGTTTAAAGTTACACGAGCAAAAGGATGAGTAAACAGACCACATAACAATTATAAAAATACAATTATGTCCAAAGCTTATAATCTGTAGAACAGACAAGAAACGAAAATAAATGTTACCGTTATATGAACTCCGAATTAAATGAAATAACGTCCGGAAAAATAAATTCTGTAGCTCATCACCTATGTCACTGATTACAAGTGTAATCTATAGACAATTTCCTATAAATCCACACTTGTCTTTAATTTATCTTTCCTGAAATAAGGTTTTGGTTTTGTCTATTTTCATATTATGCAGCCTGTATATACTCAGTGATTAGACATATTTGAAGCTTCACAAACCTTGTGAAGGATCTTCATTCGAACACCACTAGCCGAATCAGAGCTTATGGCGAACTTTCGCCTGATTTTCAAACCTCAAGTGGTGTCCGACAAGGCTGTCCATTATCTCCACTTCTGTTTAATTTCATAATAGACCTACTGCTGGAAATAACGTTCTCGTCGACTGAATTTTTAAGATCCGATCTCCTACCAGAAATTACGCTTGTCAACTTAGAATACGCAGATGGCAGTCTTGTTTGATGAAGACGTTGGTGAAGTTCAGAGTCTCTCGATAACACTGAACAACAATGTTATGATGTTTAGGACGCCTTTCTCCTCTCTAAATGCATATGGTCGCTTCAGGACTGGCCTGCGTCAACACCTGAACTAAGGATAGAGAGTGAAGTAGTCGAATGCATCGATAACTTCACTTATCTTAGAAGTCTGATCAGCCCTAATGGGTTGGCGTCTGACGGAACCTCTACACGGGTTCAGAGAGCTCGTTTAGTTTTTGCCGACTTACTTCACTTATGTCAAAGGCGAGATATCCGTCTATCAATCAAGGGACGAGTATACTGCACAGCAGTTCGCTCTGTTCTACTTCACAGCTGCAAAACGTGACCATTAAAAGTAGAAGATACTTGTAAGTAGCGTCTGAAATGGGGTGGATTGTAAAATGTAATTAAGTCACTTAAGTTCAATGTAGCTCATCACCTAACCAGTCGGCAGTCATTCTGAGTACCTTTATCACAAATTCATTTATTCCTCATTCTGACTGATTCTAACTTTTTCAAAATGTATGGAGTGTTGTCCAGTACATACACATTGACTGACACGGCATTCTACAAAAAGCACAAAATATTTACCATACTCCCATTCCATTATATTATTGTTCATACTTTTTATCTTGAAATAATTATTTAGCATCAGACGTCATATAAAACAATCTATACATATTCCACTTTTCATAGTGCTTGAAGTATCATAATTTATCACAGCACAAGAATCTACTCAACCTATTATTTTTTCGATAAGATCACCTTACGTCTAAGGCTTCGATTCAATATATAGCTGTATTACTACTTACCTGGTCTGTAAAAACCACAAAACAAATCGTAAATAATTTGTCATTTATAATCCCTTAAACGTCTATTGTCTGCGATAAATTTTATAGATACATGCACCAAAATACCTAATGTCTGATTGCAGCACAAAGGACAATTAAAATTCTAGCCACCTAATCAATACTTAATTTATCGATTACCATGTAGTGATAAAGGAAAATACAATTGCGACTGATCGATTCGCGTGTCGAAATTAAACAAACAACACACTTTTTATGGACTTCAGTTCATTCAGAAAAGCTTCTAATGTCAAAATATTCGAAAACATTTATTGAATAGGAACTTGATAACAAACTAAATTTTCCAGAATACTATGTGTGTGCTCACTTTTTCTTCATATTCTTTCTGATTAAAAGGATATATTTTGTATGCCCCACGAACGTAATCCACTGAAAAGCGAAAAGTTTTAAAATTATTTCGACTGAACAATTATTAATATCTCCAATGGATTCTATGTCTTATATTATGAAACTCATAATTGGAAAACATTGAAAATCCAATAAGTCAACTTCAATCATTGGGCATCATCATATTATATGTGATTACATCCACTAACATGAAACCCTGCAAGTCTTATTTATTCAGATCTCCCTATTTACAATCGGCTTTTCTGGCAAGCTAAACATAATTGAACTGTCACAATTCAACGTCTGACACCACATAACTAGAATATTTAGACCCTATCATTTATTTCAGATATTGAGTGCACATGTTCTAAAAAGGTGCGCGGAGATAAAGACTCACATTCTAAAATTACACATACAACAATTAATTAATTCAGGATACGATCTTCCATGGAATAATAACGTCACAGATATAAAGCT